CAGACGTGTGCTCTTCCGATCTCCCCAAAACCCCAAAACCCCAAAACCCCATGCATCACTATTTGTAATTAAGCTTGAATTGACACAAAAATGAAATTATTCTGATATTATAAGAGAATATGTGATTGGATATAATCAAATTCGTAATTTTAAAAAAAGTATAACGAGACATAGAGCATTCTTAACAAATATTGATAAAATCAGAGCTGATTAAATAAAATATTCTTCAAAATGAAATAAAGAAACTAAACGAAATCTGTTATTTCCAACAAAACATCAAGTTAAACTACTGCCACAATAATTGCTCCTGATCGAGGGAATCCTACCACCGCTGCAATGTATAATTTTAAGCCTGACCAGAGGTTGGTTTTGTAATTTACAATCAGAGATTCAAAGGATGTCTTTGCTAATATGCTAAAATTCAAAATGAAAAGCACCTTAAAAAAGACAAATCAAAAGTTGTGAGAGACAAGATGATTAAAACTAACCCATAATCAAAGATTTACCAAATTAAATCATTTTAGACTAAGAAACTGAATGCTATATAGTATCTATCTTAAAAAAACACTTAGAGATAGAAGAACTTGGCATGACAATTATTCATAATTTAAACAAGATCGACAAAATTATTAAGAAAGAACTTTCACATCACCATTACATAATTCTATAAGAAAATCCTGGCTTCAAAGAGACAAGCATGGACATGACTATATTTACAAGGATTTTAAAGCCTTTTCCTTAACTTTGAATAAAAGGCTGACACTATTGGAAAATTTGTTGTCTAAGGGACCCTATATAATTGTCGAATTATTTTGACAATCTTTGATTCTAAGGAATAATAAAAGAGAAACTGTCAACCAGTAGAATATACTCTACAGTTTTTTCCTCTGGTAATTTTCGGACTAATTCGATATAAATTGATTACGATATGATTCCGAAAAGTATGGCACTTATAAACTATTATAGTATGTGAAAAATAGGCCCAGAGGAAATAATATCAGAAATGCGATTTGCGAGTATATCACTCATGATTCACGTAACCAATATATTCAATGAATTAGATATTCCTACATATATAACTAGTTTTGTAGTACCTCTTTTAGTTGATAACAATAATCTTCTAAATTGTTATTATTCCACTTCATAAGGATTAAACTTGCTCTATATTCTAGAACAGTTGCAGCAATTCTAAATGTTCTTACTAGCAAATAACAAAACTTCTAGATGGTTTTTTAAAATACTGTCTCTTTTCTAACTTGATTAAAGCGATGTTGTTTACTCTTGTTGGAGCGATAAATATTTTAGCCTTTTAAAATTATAAAATTGAACACTTAATCCAGAAGTTTTTCAAGCTTATCATTAGATAATTTGGAGGCATCCACTTGCAGTTAGCTGATAGAGCTGTGTGTTTGTTTTATTATATATACCTCTTGAATATTCTTCTGACTTTAATAATAAGACCTTTCAATTGCTCATCTCAATCATTTTAAATTCGCAGATTTCCACTTGCTCAAGTAATCTTATAATAAAATTTAATCACCTTTTTCTAGGATCTTAGAGAAGAGTTTAATTGCTGTCAAGATAGTTCATAAAGTAATCGAATAATTTGCTTTCTAACATGATCTTAGAATGAATGCCATTAAAAAATATGCTGACAGCGAAACAAGTTGACGATTATAGGATGATATCAGAAAAGAAGATGTATGGATTTAACAATAAACAAAGCACAAAATATATGTCTTATTTAGAGCATGAAAGTAAGATATTTTCCCGGTAATAAATTCATTAATTTAGATTCTTATAAGCAATCAAATCTATTAAGGTACTTAATGCTTTTTTAAAAGGATTTACCTCATGGTGATGGATATCAACCTCTGAGAAAGTTGAAAGCAGTTTTTTATGATAAATGAGGTTATCTTTATTAGAATGATTTATTCTTATAATGCCAGTTTAAGCTTGTTCCTAACTTCTAATAATTAATTCAAACATTTTTAGCAATATTGATATCATCAACATTCATTATATAAATAATCTCTCACAACTAATATCAATAATTATTATTCTCTAATTGTTAAATTTATTATCTCAAAACTAAGAAATGGTCAAAGTATCATCTGAATGAATATCAACATAACTTACAGTCTAGAACAATTATCTGAGAGCATGAAGATGAATTAGAGTGCATATTAAGACAGTTAGAGACGAGATTTTGGAAAGTTTGAGATGAAAAATGTTATTTTAAAGGTGATGATATAATTATTGATGATTTATGAATCTGATTCTTCTTCGATGAAGTTATTTCATCAAGTTTTAGGCCAATCTGAATGCCTGTAATGCTTTCCTTGAGAAAGGGCTGCTATTTGCTAAAATAAGCACTCCAAGAAACTTCTAATATATAAAGACTTAATAAATACTATATTAATCTAATTATTGAGATATATAAGGAATACTTAACCTCGTATTATATAATTAAATTTTGCGCTCAATAAGTAAGATAAAATGTCGCTAAGAGAACAAGTCAAGAAAATGATCAATGAGGACGAAGATCTCAATCCAGAGGAGGTATTTCTACAATCAACTCTCTAACCTCATCCTTATAGTTCAGCAACCTCATTCTAGATGAATTGAAGATCGATCAATTATAGCAATAAGACAAAGCATTTTTAGAGGAATTCATAAACCTCGAGTTATTGTCTATGAATCAAACATAAATTAAATCAACCAATAACTTCCCAGATGCCCCAAATCTAGTCAGAGTAAGTATTAGCATCCATGAAATAAATCAATTTTTATTCCCGAATACTCATATTTGACTTATAGCTTGAGTTGAATGACAATAAGCTTCCTGGATCAGAACTTAAAAACCTTAGTAAATACACATAATTAAGAACTCTCAAATTTGCCGGCAATCTTATTAAGGACTTTAATGACTTGGATTCACTGGTAAGTCATTCTCCACCAATAAAAGACGCTAAATACATTTTAGAGTTCACTCTAGCATCTAGTTTCTCTTGATCTAGCAGGAAATCCAATCGCAGAAAAAGACAACTATAAAGAAAAATTATTTGAGATATTCCCCAATCTTTAGGTAAGACGACTTTTTAATATATTATATAATAACTTATAATCTTTTTACATAGATTTTGGATTCCTATGACAGAGATGGCAACGAGGTATTGAGCGAGGATGAGGAAGATGAAGATTACGATGATGAGTTAGAGGGTGAGGAGATTGATCCAGAGACTCTTAAGAAAATGAGAGAAGAGGCCGGACTTAATGGTGATGAAGAATACGACGATGAGGAGGATTATGGCGATGAAGAAGAAGGAGAGGATGATTACGGCGATGAGGAAGACGATGATGATGAAGAAGACGATCTACCAGCAGGATCTAAAAGAGGTCAATCAAATGGGAATGAGGGTGCTTCATCAAAAAGAAAGAAGTGAATAGTAATGTGATGAGGAAAGTTATCACAAACTTAGTGGTATAAAGTAATTAATAATGATAATATCTTACGTATACATTAGCCATAAATTCATGCCCTGTAACTGTGTTGAATTAATTAATGCAATACTATGTATACTAAGAGATTATCAATATAGAATGTTTATTTTCGACTAAAATCTTTCAATATTACATATATTCATAATTCACACCACTACTCAGAGAATATAATACTTATTAAATTAATTTTATATATTTTCTCTTTAAATTTTCCGCAATTCAAATATGGAGGGGTTTTGGGGTTTTGGGGTTTTGGGGTTTTGGGG